CCGGAGGTTCTAGAATTCGTTCTCGATCCGCTGAATAGTGCGTTTTATAGAGTTCTAGTACTTCTCGGGTAAGACCCGCTCGGCTATAGAGGTGTTCTCACTTAGATGAGCGGTATCACCCACTTAGCTAGTGAAGAATACGTCGTGGACAATATAGTAATGATCGATTAAGGTCTAAAGAAAGACTTTTAGAGTGTTCTCGTTAATAGAAGCACGGACGTTAACACCGGTGAAGAATTTTAATTTAGACTATAGAGAGCACGAGGATTAGTAGGGCCGAAGAGCTAGTAAATAGAAATAGAACGGGACGTAAATTAGATCTAATGAGAGAAAGGCTCGGGATAAGCGAGGTGGTCCATGGAATGAATCTAATGAGTGGGAGACTCAGTGAATTCATTCTATAAACTATTTCGCGTATAGAGGGAGAGGAGAGAGAGAAGAGAATCCATTTTAAGGACCACTCTAGGCGTTAACTAATCTTCTTAGAAAGTTTCTTAGTTATATTAGTGAGTAGATTATCATTAGCTATTAGCTTATCTAAAGTATCCTCGGTAATCTTTAGATCGGCTATATTAAGGCGCTTAGTCGCATCGGGGCTATTTAATTCCTAGTCCCGCTATAAGATAATTATTTCGAACTTAAGGTTCTAAATATTCAATTCTTTTTTAGAGAATAATAAGTTATTCTAGAGTAGTTTCATCTCGCGCTCGGTAAGGTAGCGAATAGATACGGATTTCTTTCGGCCGAACTTAGAAAAAAATACCTTTTTATAGTAGCTAATAACGTACCGTAGTAGAAAGAAGACGCGGTGAAAGTCATTAGTAGTGGTTAGACCTTAGCGTACTTAGCCGAGCTACTCTTTTTCGAAAGATTCGAAAAAGTAAATACGGAATTTCTTAATAATTTTATAAATTTAGGTTACGTACGCCACTTTAAAAAAGATCTATTTATTAGTTCGGAGAGCTCTTAGAAACTTCTTAAAGCACGGATTATAGTTAAAGTCTAGTTCATCGCGGATTAACACCTCCTCGAGCTTCTACTAAAAGGTATAGACTTTATTACCTTTAGAGATTTCCTTTACAATATAATCGAAGAAAAATATCGAGTTTACCTTAACTTCCGGAATATCGAAGCCCTACTTTTTAAGCGTAATAAAGTATATTACGATTACTTTCATTCACTAAATAAGTAGTAGAAGTTCGTAAGTGTCCTTTAGCTTAAGATACCCAGCTAGAAAGCTTTAGTTACGCTATATAGTGCGGTCGGGCTCAATATAGATATACTTACAGAAGTACTTAGCTAGATTACGCACGAGCTTATTACGATCTTTAAAGAGAAAGTCATCCTCGCCCTTAGTATCTTGTAGTATCTTCTATTTACGCCGCTATCGAGCGACTACCTTAGAGATAATATTTATAGATTCAGTGCGGTCCTCGGCCTTCGGATTAGTGAACTCTTAGTCGCTAGAGTCGATAATGCGATCTGTAGACTTAGTGAACTTCGTAGATTTCTTAGTCTTTAATAACTTAGTTATCTTCGGGCCTACTGCCGAGATAATATTAGACTTAGAAAGACTTTATACGAATTTTACTAGATTCTCGTTCTCCGGATCGCTAGATTTATGATCGCTAAAGTCGATAATACGTTCTACAGACTTAATAAACTTCGTAGGTTTTTTAGCCTTCGCTAGTTTAGCTGTCTTTAGACCTACTACCGAGATAATATTGAATTTAAAGAGACTTTATACGAATTTTACTAAATCCTCGTTTATCGGATCGCTAAATTCATAGTTACTGGAATCGATAATATATACTACGGACTTAGTAGACTTTGTAGATTTCTTGGGTTTCGCTATCTTAGTTATTTTCTTAACTAGTACTGAGGTCGTGTTCGACTCATTCGATAAATCGCTAAACTTCACTAACGCCGCTACTTTAGCTAGGGCTACGCGCTCGGCCTCTAAATCGGTTACGATCTTCTTAGTGTCTCGGTACTACTGCTTAAGCCGGGTCTCTCTATTCTTATTGGAGACGATGCGCGGAAGTTCCTACTATTCTTACTTTAAGCGGGCTATAAGGTCTTTTTCTTTCTCGATTTCTTTATTTACTATTACTAGGTCTCGCTTAGATCGCTTCGGCGGCGGCGGTAACGAGGAAGCCGAGGCCGGTCTCTTCTTTCTCATTATAGTTAGAAACGCTTACCGGTAGAGATAAAAGAGATTAGTTAAGCGGTCTATAAAATGGATCCGCTAGAACTTAGAGCTATAGACTAAGAGAAGTTAAATAGTCCATGGAATGAATCCATTAAACTTAGAGATATAGAATGAATTCACTAAACTTAGAGAATATAGAATGAATTCACTAAACTCGGGAATATAAATAGAGAAGAGTTTAGTAATCTATGTAAAGTAGTTTATAGAATAAATCTAATAGTGAATCCACTTACCTCTCACTTAGATTTAGCTCTACTTTCACCCGACGATTAGCTCGGCGGCGTAAATCGGGCCTTACGCGGCGGAAATAAGTACGATGGTCGGGCTAAAGAGAAGAAGAGATGATATTAGATAGCCTTAATAAAATAAAATAGTTTTCGGCGTAAAATAAGCTAGTTTTAACGAGTTTAATAACGATAACGCTAATAAAAGTAATTAAGAAGAAAGATAAGTGTAAATATAGATAAGAAAATAACGATAATAGAGCTCGTTAAGAAGAGCGCACTTATCTATCGAGATAAGAAAAGAGTGAATTCTATTAAACCTCTTAGAATTTATTAGATCCATTTCATAGATCACTTCTAAGCTATTTAGCCTTATAGTCTTTCGGTGAATTCATTTCAGAGATTATTAATCTACGAAGTCTCTCTACTAATTAGAGGGCCGGCTAATTAAGATAAATAAGATAAAGAATTAGCCTTATATATCTTTCCTTACGCCTCGTAAGAAGATCGTCCGTTAATATAGTGAGTTTCACTCTTAGTTAAGAAGTCGAAGAATATACGAATATACGATAAGAATATATCTCACAGCTTTAATCTCGATCGTATAAGAGCTAGTGACTACTCAGTACGCTAGAGATTAAGAGCGAGTTACGTACTAACTCTTTTCGGATATATCGGTGAGTCTTTGTATTTTTCGTATAAATTACTACGTATTAAGCTCACTCCGTTATTCCCGCGGCACCGCCATTTTAAGATCTCACCTCGTTAGAGAACGACACGATTATATAAGTGATAGAAAGGAATAAATTAAATGATACTAGTGTTATCCTAATTATATAGTTCTTCTCCGGCTAGGCGGAGATACTATAAGAGCGGTAGTGGCCGTTATAGAGGGCCCGAGAGCGACAGATTACGATAATTCATAGAATGAATCTAATCGATAAACCATTACATTTATATATTGAATTTAATCCATAGACTCTCTCTCTTCTTTATGAGTATATATTCTTCTCGTAATTCCGATCTTCGCGGTATACGCCCCGAAATAATATTTTATTCTTTAGTTTCGTTAACGACGTCTATTTATCGTTATACGGTGTCTACTTCTATATAGTCTCTCGCCTAGTTTATTCGACGTTACTATATCGTGATTTATTCGGCCCATCGTTCCGGCGACCATGAAATCCACTCGGGTAGATCGGCGATCCACTCGGCACGATAGCGATGGTTCATTCGCTTATTACGGAGACCGAGTCACTACTATACCTTAAGGGGAACTCAGTATAAATACTCGGGAAGAGATTCTTCGTTCATCTCGTGACGATTAACGTCTATAGAGTACTACATCCGTTCTATATTCTTAGTCTTTTAGATTAAACCGTACCGGTGAGAGTATAGGAGAAGCTAATGCCACTTAAAGAGATACTATATATAAATACGTACGAAACTTCGTCGATGTTCGATTCGATCGAACGGCGTATATATTAATCGTATATATACGCGGCGATAAAGAATACGGTAGGGTTTCTAGTTCTAATGCTAACGTATAAACCGGTCGTCCTAGTTAAAGAGATAATCGACGAAGCGTAGAGGCTCCTTAAAATCGAACTTATTACTAGTCACGGTGTAAATACGCCTATCTAATATAATCTAACGAAAATATTAATAGTAGAAGGGCTACGGGTTTTAGAGTATCTCTTTTACGTACTCGGGTTTCATTTCGCGCTCGATAGAACGTAAGATATTAATCCGAAACTACTTAAGGTAGATATATATCATTCACTATAGAAGACGCTTCACCACGAAAGTATAGTGTAAGTTCTCTTCGAGGAGGCGGAAGACGAGGTTAAGTCGCCGTTCGTAGTTAAAGAAGTCTCGGACCGACCTCCCCCGGCGTAGATACACTCCCTATAAAGCCCGATTACTAAACGAGATTAGATAAGTAATGTTAGCGTAAAACTTTAATCGGCGCTAATCGATGCGCGGTTCCACTCAACAGTACCCATAGCGAGGGAGAGTATTATAAAATCCTAGACTAATCTAACTACGACGACGAGAAACTATACTCTCCGCCTCTACCGCGTTCTCTCTCTATTCGTCTTCTAAAAGGTTACGCCTACTCTACTAAAGGGCGAATTTCCGCGAGAGTTACTACGCGCCTAGAGTAAACCGAAGATAGCGAAGAAACATAGTTATTATCTTCGTCTACTCCTATATAATCGCCTCTAAAGTCGCCCGGGCGTGAACGACTTTAAATCCTAACGCGAAGCGATTAACGTGGTGACGAAGAAATAGAAAGTATATTTAGATAAGAATGATCTAAATATACGGGAAGTGACTCTAAATCGAATAAATCGGTGCCGATAGAGACGATTACGTACGGAGAGTATCTATAATAGCGACGGTACACTCGTATATAATGCGCGCCTTCTAGCGAATTCCGTAGTTCTTTCATTGATTATTATGGAGAGCGATTTGTATTCGGTATCGACTCTAAGTATAGACCCGGCGTAAGACTTATCTCTCTCGAGAACGTTCACCGGCTACGGCGCGCGCCGTCTTACTCACCAAGAAGTTCACCGCCAGCTCCTCCATTACATCGTTGTCAAAGGGAATTCGTTTATTGACATCGAACACCTCCTTCACCGAATTATAGTTCTGGATGTATCGGATACCTTCGCGATAAAGGCGCGACCGTTTCGGTGGGACGCTGGTGATCGAGACGGCGTTACGGAGCATCGACTATATATAGAAGCGAGCGCCGGCGCTATTCTACGACGGTGTCCTCGGTTCTTCCTAGTAGAGTCACTCGATATAGGATTCGAGATAATACCGTCGCCATAGATACGTAGTGAGGACGTAGAGTGTATAAGAGTCGGGGGGCGGGCGAGGAATACAAATCTTCTATCCTAAGTCGAGGTAGAATCGGTCTTAATCGATGTATTCCCACCGTAGTACTCTCCGGATCCAGTCATTTCACTATTGAAGCGCATCGAGGACGGTGGTGACGGGGTCACTTTAGATCTTCATCGGCAAATTTTCCCGCGCGACCCTAAGAGCCCTAGGCTACTCTGGGCTATTAAGGTAAGTCTACGTCTTACGTAGCCCATAAGACCGCTAGGCTCGCTAGGCTACTCTAAGAGAGCTTATAGGCTACTCTAAGAGAGCCCTAAGCTAATATAATAATTTATAACTTTACGAATATATAATTATACTAGTCG